TTTTGTTTGATTTTTAGGGAGAGTTTTTTTTGATTTATTTTTGACATGTCAGGTTAAAATTGCTATATAGATTGAATGAAACTAACCTAAAAAAAATGATAACCATGAACTTTTGGGAATTTGGCAGTGGTTATTATTTATAATAAGGTTGAGAAATGCGCATATATTTTATTTTTTATTATTGTTAGTATCAAAATCGTCAGTTTTTCATCGGTTGTTTTTTTGTTTTTCTCAGAAAGAGTTTTCATTGTTTTTATTCATGATTTTTATTTAGATCATTAGATTTTGGCTGTGTCTGACTTTCTGTCAATGTCAATTCTTTCTGAGTGGCACATAATTTTTGTTTCTTTTCTCATAAATTCATGTTGCATCCTGTCATAAAAACATTTTTAGTTAAACTTATTATTATGACAACATTATTAGATAAAAACTAAAAAAATTTCCCGAAAAATTCTAGGTCTGAAAAGAAGCCAATCCCAACTTAGTCAACAATGCCTAAAAAATTGCTGAACTAGAAAAAATCCTTGGTAATCTCAATTTAGTTCTAATTAATGGCAAAATAGAAAACGAGACTATCTCTCAAGGCTTAACTATCTCCAGTTTGAAACTGTAAACAAAATAATTGAAATGTGAAACAAAATCAAGAGTATTATCAGGCTCAAATCCTCCACAATTCTCCTAAGATTAACACCTAGTCCTTAATAAAATTATTTTGCTTTCCCAATCAATTTCTTATTCCTGGCTCTTTGGGCTCATCTAACTCCTTTTTTGCTCTTCCTTTTTATGAATTTATTAGGAAATGCTTATCAAAACTGGTACCCAAAACCGGACTTGAACCGGTATGAACTTGCGCTCGAATGATTTTGAGTCATTTGCGTCTACCATTCCGCCATTTGGGCTTGGTGGCGGGGGCAGGATTTGAACCTGCGATCTGCGGATTATGAGCCCGCCGAGTTGGACCACTACTCTACCCCGCGATATATAGTTAATTTTTAACTAATTCCGCAAAAACTACTTATAAAGGAATGGATAAAAATCAAAACCAAATATTAATCGGTTTAGAAATTCATATTACTCTCAAAAGTAAAAAAAAAATCTTTAATTGAACTGATACTTACACTAAAAATATTCCCCCTAATAGCCAAATTAGCCCTTGGGAGTTAGGATATTTAGGAACTTTGCCAACTATTAATCCAGAGTGTATTGAACTAGCAATTAAATTAGCCTTGGCTTTACAAGCAAAAATTAGCCCATTAATTATTTTCGACCGCAAAATTTACCATTATTATGATTTGCCTAAGGGATACCAAATTACTCAATATCGTCAACCATTAGCGAATTCTGGTTATTTGCCGTTAATTACCCCTAGCGGCATTATAAATATCCCTTTAAGGAACTTACAATTAGAAGAAGATACTGCTAAATCATTTTACACTCAGGAAAGCATTGAACTAGATTTTAATCGAGCCGGTAATCCATTAATTGAATTAGTTACTGAACCGGTTTTTCATAATTCAGAAGAAACAATCCTTTTTTTGCGGCAGTTACAAAACCTTTTGCGTTATTTAGATATCTCCGAAGCCAAAATGGAAAAAGGACAATTACGAGTTGATTTAAATTTCTCTTTAAATTTAGCAGATAATTACCAAACTCCTCGTTATGAAGTGAAAAATCTTAATTCTTTTAATGCTATTGAAAGAGTCCTAAAATACGAAATTGACAAGCACCAGCAATTATGAAAAGACAAAAAAATTCCTCCATCAAGCCAGACCTTTGGATTCGACGAAAAAAAGCAAATAACTATTCCTCAGCGAGAAAAAACTGATTATTTTTATTTACCAGAGAGCAATATTCCTTTAATTAAAATTAGCCAAAAAGACATTCAAAGAATTGCCAAAAATGTCCCTATTTTGCCTTGAATGAAATGAGAACAGTTAATTAAAAACGGGTTAAACCACACCAAAGCAAATTTAATTATGGAAAAACCAATGCTGTTAAAAACAATTAATTTTCTAGAAAAAAAGTTAGCAAAGAATTTTTCAGAGAAGGGCAAATAAAAGTAAAAAACATTACCTTTGCTAAAAATTTTTTGCGTAGTCAGATTTGGCTAACAAATTAAAGAGGGTATTAACTAATTTATCAGCACCGTACTTTTCACTTAATTTTTTGATTTTTTCATTATTCTTTTGGCGAACTTCGGTTTTTTCTATTTTATTGATTATTTTTTCTAGTAATTTGTCTTCTAGAATTTGGTTGATTTGGTTTCTGTTAGGTAAACTTAGTGGCTCAATTTTATATCTTTTTTGCCGGGCTAGAGAAAATAATCATTTTTTTTCTTGGGGAGAACTAATAAAAGTTATGGCTTGTCCGCTGGCTCCGGCTCGACCAGTACGACCAATTCGATGAATATAAAACTCTGAACTTTGCGGAAAATCATAATTAATTACATAGGCAATATCATCAACATGTAGACCTCGGGCAGCAACATCGGTGGCAACTAATAAAGATATCTGCTTAGTTCTAAATTTATTAAAAACTCTAGTTCGACGAGATTGGGACAAATCACTATGGATATAATCAACTTTTAGTCTTTCTTTGCTTAATCTTTCGTTAATTTGTTCGACCATTCTTTTAGTATTCGCAAAGATAATAATTAATTCTGAGCTGTGAAGAAGAAGAAAATCAACTAAAAAAAAACTTTTTTGCCGAGAAGCAGATTCTAAATAATAGTGTTTAATATCATTTTCTGGTGCATTTTTTGTTTCTCCACTAATTCGTTCCGGATTTTTTAAGTAAAGGTTAGCAAATTGAGAAACTTGTGGAGTAATAGTAGCCGAAAAAAGTAAAGTTTGCCGTTCGGCAGGAGTCATTTTAATTATTTTTTCGATGTCTGCTAAAAATCCCTTATTAATCATTTCATCAGCCTCATCAAGGATGACAAATTTTAAATTAGTTAATTGAAGACTTTTTCTAGCAAGATGGTCAAGTATTCGTCCGGGCGTGCCAATTACTACATCAACACCAAAACGAAAGGCTCGTAATTGATTTTCCATCGAAGCACCACCATAAACAGCTAGTATTCGTAATTTGCTATTTTGAGATAATTTCTCGGTTTCTTCGCTGACCTGTAAGGCTAATTCCCGTGTCGGCACCAAAACTAAAATTTGGGGCTTTGTCCCTGGTTCTATTTTTTCCAAACTAGGAATAATAAAAGCCGCAGTTTTTCCGGTTCCTGTTCGAGATTGAGCGATAACATCTTTTCCTTCCAAAATAAGCGGAATAACTTTTTCTTGGATGTCGGTTAATTTTTTATAACCACTTGATTGTAAATTTTCTTTTGTCCTGTCAGAGAGGAGAGTATTTATTAAATTCATTTTATTCTTATTTACTGATAATTTTTTTAAAAACAATAATCATTACTAATTAACGTTTAGAATATTGAGTAGCCTTTCGAGCTTTCTTTAAGCCAATTTTCTTTCTTTCTACTCTTCGAGGGTCGCGAGTTAATAGACCAAATCCTTTCAAAGTGGTTCGATATTCAGGAGAAACTTCTAAAAGTGCTTTTGCTATTCCTAAACGAATGGCTTCTAGTTGCCCGGTTATCCCCCCCCCTTTTACTCTAATTTTTAAGTTATAATCATTTTGTTTATTCAAAAGTTCCAAGGGTCTTAAAATCTCTTTTTTATTAAGCAAAGAATTAGTAAAATATTCGTCAAGATCCTTCTTCTCTTTTTTTCCTCTTTTGCTGATTTCTATTTTTCCTGTGCCACCAGATTTTAAATAAACTGTCGCACTAGCACTTTTTCTTCTTCCGACGCCGGTATAGTAATTATTTTCTCTCATTATTATTATTTTTGGACTTCTTACCTACCAAATAAGCAATAATAATTCCCATTACCACCAATAAAACCGCTCCAGGAATAACTACATATAACCAATTAAATCCATTATTAGGTTGTTGTGGATTGGCTTGTTGTTTAATTTTTTCCTGTTGGGATTGTTTTTGTTTTAAAGTTTTTTGAACTTGCTCTTTTTGGTTTTGGAGAGTGGCTATTTTTTGTTGAATTTCTGGGTTAGTATTTTGGTCGGAGTTGGGATTTTGCTTTTTTAGTTCATTTATTTCGTTTTGTAATTCAGTTAATTGCTGTTTCAAGTAATCAATTTCTTTTTGTTGGTATTGGATTTTCTTTTCCTCTTGGGGATTTGGTTTATGAGTTGGTTGGAAAGAATAACCATGTTTTTTTCGTTCTTGCTGGATGAAGGATTTTAGTGCTTCATTATCTTCTTTTGCTTTTTGAATTACAGTGGCTTTGTCAATTTTTTTATCCTCCCAAGAAAGAGATTTATTAAAAAGGTATTTAATTGAAGTATCATTTAAAAAGTTATCTTTGGTTTTGTCAATAATGTTAGTGCTATTCACAAAAAAAAGAAAATTCCGATAGCCTTTTTCGTATAAATACAAAATTAATCCCGCCATCATCAAAGTTTTGCCGCTACCAGTTGCCATAAGAAAAAGAAGTTGATTATTGGAATTACTTGCGAATTTTTCATCCTCTCAATAGTTAAGAAAATATTTAAATGCTTTTTCTTGATAAGGTCGAAGTTTAAATTTTGGATTAAGATTTTTAGTTATTATTGGAGGAAGCAGAGTATTTTCTATCCTTTGGGTTCCAAAATACTCAATTAATTTTTGTTGTAAAGTTTTATTTTCATTCATATTCTTTATTTATTATTTAGACCATCAGCAATACTTTTTCCTCAAATTTCGTCTTCTCTGGCTAATTTTTTACTTTGAGCCGAAGCCTTATAACCAGCAATTAACTGCTCTTTTAACTTTTCTTTTTGGTTAGTTTTTACTGACCGATAAACTTCATAATTAATATTTTCTTTACTTAAATATTGCTCCAAACTGTCTAATTTGTTTAATTTATAAATAAAAGGAGCCAATTTTTCCCCGTTCTTTTTTTAGTATTTCCCGGACTACACTATAATCTTTGGGAGTAATAGTAGATTTAATATAAATGAGTTTCATAATTATTAATTTTAAGAGAGAGGTATGTGTATCTGTTGTAAAAACAGTAAAAATAATACATGAACGATTGATGGAATGCACCAATAACAACAGCACTAGTTTCAGCATTAATTCCGACAATATTAACTTTTTGGTTGAATTCAAGAACGAGTAATGAAATTAAAGAAAACAAGAGAGAAGCAAAAGATAGTAATAATAGCCAAAACAAGGAAATTAATAAATTAAATGAAAAACTAAATGACCGATTGCTTAAAGAAATGGAAGCTCGAAAAAATTTAGAGAAATCAATAGCAGAAGGAGTTGCGAAAAGTTGAGAATCTTTTTATCAATCAGAAAATAAAAGCAGAAAAGAGGAAGAGAAAAGGCGTGAAGAAATGTGAGAGAAGTATAAGAAATTAATGGAAGAATCAGGGGAAAGAGAAAGGAAATTAAGAGCGGCAAACAGGAGATTAAGAACACAATTAGAAGTAGAAGGAAAGATTCCGCCAGACAGCCATGACATTGACGATGATGAAAGGAGACAAGAGGCAATTCGAGAAGTTGAGACATGCTGAGGAGTTTACAGTAAAAACGATAAAATCAATGGAAAAACTATAATCAAGTTTTTTTGAGAAAATTGAGAAAGAACTTTCGATAACAAAGAAGGAGAGGATATAATAAAAGAAAGAGATAGATTAATTAACCTAATTGTTGAGGCTGCTAAATTAGTAAAGTAAAAAATAAATTCTAAAATCTTAAAAGAAATTTAGTCATGACAGCGAAAAATACAAATAATTTCTATGCTGTATTTTAACCTTCTTCGTAAAATTGTCGATTTAACTTTTTAACTTCCTCGGGTATCACATAACTTTTATCTTCCATATCGCAATAGGAAACATACAAAAGATTTTTATCCAAAAGGGAAATCAAAAATTTTTGCTGGTCTTCAAACAATAATTCTTCAAACTCTTTTTTAGTATCATCAATGTCTTTTGGCTCTATCTTATAACTTAAAAAAGCCATTTTTTTCATTTGTTCTCATATTTTTCAAAGTTCACTAACATTTTTTGCTTCCTGGATTTGATTAATAAATTGTTGATTAAACTCTGCTAATTCACAATAAACAAAAGAACCTTTATTATCATTCTCGCAAACTTTTCTAATTCTTTCTTTGGTTACGGTTTCAATGTAGTCCATTTGCTCGCAAACAATAAATTTCCTATTTCCGTCATCTTGCTTATTCAGTTCTAATACCGCATGAGCCGTGGTGCCACTGCCACCAAAAAAATCTAAAATTATAGCATTTTTATCATTTCCTACTACCGCATAAAGGCAATCGTAGACATTTCAAAGAGATTTGGGAAAACTGAAAGTATTGTTTGGAACTAAATTTTTAAGAATTGTGCTTCCTTTTTTGGCATCATATCTGCTTTTTTCATATCAAACTGTTTTGTAAGTTTCAGAAGTTTTTTGATACTCAATTTTATTTAGTTTTTTATTAAATCTAAAAAATTCTTCTTTTGCTTCGGCATTTTCTCTGATTCATCTCCATCTCCTTTCGATTCCTTTCTCAATAGGTCATACATATAATTTGTTGTCTTTTTCAATGATAGCCTTCTCTGGGTGTTCTTTTTCATCCAAAATTTCCCCAAAACCAATTACCTTCTCATCTTTCACAATAATGGGGTAAAAGCAGTTGTTGTTGGCACTTCTTAAAAAATCACCTATTCCAGAATCCCAACGCATGAAATCTCTCCATTCGGCATCAATTTTTCTTTTATTTATTAGTTTACTACTAGGAATAACAAAAATAGCATATTCATGAACATAAGAAAACCCAACGGCTTGCGTTCCTTGTAAATTATGAACGATAGTTATAACATGAATTTCATAACCACGAAATAATTCTTTCAATAAAACAGTTAATTCGGCTTGTTCGTTCTTGTCAATTGCCACAATTAAGCAACCATCAGAAGTTAATAATTTTTTGGCTACTTCCAACCTATTTTTCATAAAAGTTAACCAAGTTGATTCATTAAAGCCGTTATTATAAACGAAAGTATTCGATTTACTATCCGGATTATAAGGAGGGTCAATATAAATTAATTTGATTTTATTTTGATATTTTTCTTTTAGACTATATAAAGAAAGGAGATTATTACCTTTGATAATTAAATTATCATTTGGCGAAATATTATCCATAGATACTTTTTCTCCTTTATCATACTTTTGAAAATTAGTGAAAACTTTGGGTGCTAGCAAGCGGTCAATTTCGTCCGGTGCCAAAGTTTCATTTCAAAATATTTCCTGTCTTTTGGCGTCCTCTTTGGTTTGCCCTCCTTCCAAAATACAATCTTTATAAGGTCAAACCAACACAACTTCTCCGCTATCAGTTAAGTATTGCCTATCAGACGACAAACCTATTTTATTTTTGTAGGCGGTAAAACTATCAGGGAGAAATTGCTTATTAGAAATAAAACTTTGAAACTTTATTTTATCGAAAACCAGTATGTCGTCAACCTCTTGGAAAAATATTTTCTTGATTTCGGGAGAAGATTTGAGAAGTTTCAGAAGCCTTAAATCTAATTGAAGTGCTAATTCAATAATTTTATTTTTGGCAAGGTTACTTTCTACTACTAACCTTTCATCTTTTTTTAGGAGTCCGGTTAGTGTTTCTAATGTTTTTTGCGTCATTATTTAAATTTTTTATATTAAAACTATTGTATGGACGAATTAGAAGGAAGAAATATAACTTTTATAAATTTATTCAAAGAACTCCATATTAATAACTCGCGATCAATAGATCCCGCGTACCCTGATTATCGTGAATTGTTGTCTCCCGGCATCTATGAAAGGAGATATAACCTTGCCTATTTATGAATAAAAAAACAATATTAAAAAAATATTCTTTTAGTCTTCTTTAGCATGATTGTTAATTATTTTTTTGTTCCAATTGTTCTAAAACTTTTTTCTTTTGTTCAGTAAAATAATTTAACTTCTTTTTTTCTTTTTCTACCAAATCAGCAGGGGCTTTTTTGACAAAATTTTCATTATTTAATAAGTTTTGAGCACGTTCATATTCGGCTTGGAAATAATTTAATTTCTCTTGAAGTTCTTTTTTTAGATCAGTTTTTTGCTTGGGAACTTTAAGAATTCCAAAAGGTTTGATATCAATAATATAAAACAATTCCTCTTTTTCAGTTTCAGGCAAATTAAAATAAACTTGACTTTTTGCCAGCGGGATTAAAAATTGATTGAAATTAAAAGAGTTATCTATTTTTTTATTTCATTCCTTGGTTAATTCACAATAAACTTTAATTTGTTTGCTAATATTTTGCTTTTGCCGAAAGGAACGTACATTTTTTAGCAATAAAAGGAGAAAATCTATCATTCAAGTTTTTTCAATATTCTCTAAATTTGTTTTTTTCGGTCTTTCTTTTTGAATTTTGATTGGTTTTTCTGACATTTTATTTTTGTTTTTAACTTCTTTTGCCGTTGATTTCTCGCAAGCAGATAATGCAGTTTCGTATTTATAAGGTTTATTAATAATCAATTTAATTTATGAAGAACACGGGTTTGCTAAACTGAAAAACACGACTTGCTTATTTAGAGAAGATGAATTATTCAGCAACCAGAGAATTAGGAACAAAAAAATTGGCTAACCTTCTCTCTATTTCTTCAAGCCACATAATTATGACATAAGAATTTTTCCTAGGACAAACCGAACTTCTAAAAGCAAAAATTTATATAGAAAAAAGCAAAATTTGCTTACTTGTTTCATGAAACTGTATTTATTTAACTCTTTAACTAATCAAAATGACTGTTTAATATTTGAGCCTCAGCAGACAATTAACTTTTACTTATGTGGTCCAACCGTTTACGACCATATTCACATTGGTAATCTCCGAACAGTAATTGTTTTTGATGTTTTGCATCGTTTTTTGCTCCATTGTGGTTATAGAGTTAAATACGCCCACAATTTAACAGATGTTGACGACAAAATCATTCAAAAAGCCCAAAAAGAAAAAAAAACTGAACAGCAAATCGCTTGTCATTATACTAGAGTTTATTTTCAAAATTTGATAAACTATAACGTTCTTCAACCAACATTTACTCCTAAAGTAACTGACTACATTCCTCAAATTAAAGAGTTTATTAATAAATTACTAAAAAATAATCACGCTTATCAGCAGGGAGATAACATTTTATTTAGGGTAAAAGGCAATCAAGCATACGGTCAACTTTCCAAACAAAAAGCCGAAAAATTACAAAGTGAACGGGAAATTACTCAAATTGACAAAGAAACATCCCAAGACTTTGTTTTGTGAAAAACTACTAGCCAAGGAATCAATTGACCTTATTTATTAGGAAATGGTCGACCAGGCTGGCATACTGAATGCGTGATTTTTATCCAAGAACTATTCAAAGGAAAAACTATTGATATTCACGGAGGGGGACAGGACCTATTATTTCCTCATCATGAAAACGAAAGAATCCAATATTTAGCAGTTAATAGCCAAGAATTAAGTAAAATTTGACTACATGTCGGACATTTACATTGAAACCAAGAAAAAATGTCGAAATCTCTGGGGAATGTAATTTTAGCCAAGCATTTTTATCAAAAATATGGTTCTAATGTACTTCGTTATCTTTTTTTAAACAGCCATTACAATCAAGTAATTAATTTCAATGAAAAATTGCTCCAACAGGCTCAGGACTATATCCAAAAAATCAAAAATCTCCTTAAAAGACTAAAATTATACTTTTATTGACAAAAAATAACCATTAACCGGCAAGAAATTAACAGAAACAATCAACTGTATCAAGAAATCATTAATGTTTTGGCTGATAATTTAAATACTATTAAAGTGTTTTATTACTTAGATGAAATAATTTATCGCTTGAATAAGGAACTAGATAAACAAAAAAAAACAAATTTAATCCAGGAATTAACTGGCATTTTTTATTTTGTCTTGGACATTTTGGGATTTAAGTTTGAGTTAGCCAATTACAATTGACAAATTCGCTATTTGCTTGATAAATGACAAAAACTTCGCCAAGACAAGAGATTTTTAGAAGCTGACCAAATAAGAAAACAATTACAAGAAAAAGATGCGGTTTAAAACTTATTTAAAATACAAACAAGATAATTCTAATGATAATGACAAAAAATGAATTATTTTCCCCATTTTAACAGTTACTATTGTAGTTTTTGGAGGCTTAATTTATGTTTGGTTGAGCAAAAAAAGAAAATAAGTCATGGTTTTTACTATTTTTAACACAATTTTTTAGTTGTTATATCTGCTAATAACTTCTGCCTAAATAAGCATAATTAACAGCAGGAGCAGCACAAAAAATGCATTTTTCTTTGGATTTTGTAATTAAAGAGAGGCAACGAATACTGTAAGCAGGCAGTCTTTGAGGAATGGTTTTTTCACAGTCAGGAAAATTACAAAAAGGAATTAAAAATAGCCCTTTCGCCTCTTTACTTATTTTTTCATGTAATTCGGAAAAATCGCCCACTGGAAAAATGTGCTTGTCACGAAAATCAGCACTTTTTTGGTAAATATTTTTTTTAAATTTGTCTATTTCTTTTGTGATAATTTTAAGTATTCTGCCTGCTTTAAGTCCTTTTTTAAACGAATCAAGTGGTTTTTCTTTTCTTTTTGCTAGTTCTTTTTCAGTTTCTCCGTTATCAATTTTGCTTAATTCTTCTATATATTTTTCAAAGGCAAGAAGATAATTTTCCTCAATTTTGTTTTCTTCTTTCAAACTAATGGTAATTTTTCTTTTAATATCATCTCTTTTGATTAAAGTAATTTCTTCTTTTTTTAATTCCTCTGCTCCTAGAATTATTTTCAGCGGGCAACCTTCTTTATCGGCTTGTAAGATATTTAAATTAACTCGCAATTTTTTATTATATAATTGGCAACGGTAAACGGGGCTTAATAAATTGTATATTCCTTGATAATAATTAGTTAGTTCTATATTTGGCTCAATTAAAATAAAAGCAATTTGGACGGGAGCGACATCAAAAGGCAAAACTATTCCTCATTCATCAACATGAGTTCCGGCAATAGCACCAATTGCTCGAGTTGAGGTTCCTCATGAAGTAGAAAAAGGATATTGAAATTGATTTTGCTTATTTTGAAATTTAACATTCATGACCCGACAAAAATTGTCTCCAAAAAAATGACTGGTTGCCAATTGTAAGCATTGACCGTCAGAAAGTAAGCATTCCACAGTATAACTCTCTAGGGCTCCGGCAAATTTCTCATTTTCACTTTTTTTGCCGGCGATAATCGCAAGACATAAATTTTTTTCTACATAATTCTGGTATTCTTGTCAAATTTTTTGAGCAAATTCTTGGGCTTCTTCGGCAGTTTCATGCAAAGTATGTCCTTCTTGTCAAAAAAATTCTGTATTTCGTAAAAAAGGTTTAGTATTTTTTTCGGCTCGAAAGACCTGGCACCATTGGTTGTAAAGAAAAGGCAACTGCTGATAACTTCGTAAAGTTTGCCGAAATCAATCGTAAAATAAGACTTCGCTAGTAGGACGCAAAACTAATGGTTCAGTTAATTTCTTATCACCAATTTGTTGAACTTGATAAAACTCCGGACTAAATCCTTGAATATGTTGCTTTTCTTTTTGGAAAAAACTATAAGGAATTAAAGTTGGCAAACTAACATTTTTTGTTCCATGTTGAGTAAACTTTTGATTTAAAATATTTTGAATATTCTGCCAAAGAATCAAGCCACGAGGAGGAAAAATAAAAGAACCTTTGCTTGGTCCAGGGAAAAATAAGCCACTTTCGAGAAGAACTTTGTTGTATTGGTTGAGACCTGCGGTCTTTTCATCTTGTTTATTCACAGAATTTTTATAATTTATTTTTTCTTTAATATTATATCTAATTTTACTTTTTGCTTAGAGCAATTGCTACTATTACTAGGATTATAAGCAGCAAAAAACCAGCTACCAAGAAACCGATTAAAATTGCCTGTTGTTGCTTAAAAAATCAATCTCATTCTCCTTCTTTAATATTTGTTAATTGAAGTTTCATAATATAAGAATTTTTAACTGTCCTTCGTTCTCTTTTTTTTCTTTATATTACAACTGCTAATATCAATAAAAGTTCAATTTATTTTCCCTATGACTATTGATATAAGAATTATGCTTATCAACACTACTTGGGAACAGCCAAGAAAGAAATGATGAAAAGACAAAATGGCTTGAAAGATTGTTTTTGATCGAGAATAAGCAAAAAATTAAATTATCTCCTCTTAGCATCTAATTTTTCTTAAAATTAATTTAAACTATGAATAACACAAATGAACATTTCATGCTTCTTCGAAGTTCTATAACTTGGTTAGAAAAATACATTGAAATAGCCAATTATTATTCTGACTGAAAACAAAGAAAGCAGACTGACGACTCTTTCATTACACGAAAAGATATAAATGAATCAAAAGAAAAAGTTTTATGACCGCTAGGAACTAATTTAATGTTAGGTTTTGAAGCGACGCTAGACGAAGAACCATTAGAATTTCGGGAAGAGTTAAAACAAGAATTTTATAAATGATTAGATACTAGCCAGATTAATGTAGACAATGCCCCAGTCGAATTAAAATGTGCTTTGTTCGATTTTCATGAAATACTGGAATGTCGCTTTGAGAAAGCCCGAAAAGACCGAGCCAGCAGAAAAAGAGAGTATGAAATCGATTCTCCGGAATATCTGGAAAAACTGGAAGAAATGTTTTCAAAAACTCAGCAAATAATACATAGTGGAAAAGCCCACTCAGATGCTAGCCGATTCAATGGCAATCCCCAAACTGGAAAAACCACTTTTGCAGCAATTGCTAATTCTCTTTCTGCTTCCGATAAAGAAAACTTTCATTTTTGACCGCAATCACAAATAGATAGTGAAAAAAAGAGTACAAAAGACACAGAACATGACACAAAAGCCACTACAAAGTTAGCATCTGAAAAAGGAGAGCTGAAAACCCAAAAAATAATCTTAATAATCGGAGTAATTTCCATTGCTGCTTTAAGTTCAATTGGTCTAATTTATTATTGAAAGAAAAACAATGAAAAAAGAAAATAATTTTTTGTTTGATGATGGAGAAATTGATAATTGAATCACTTTTTATCTGAACTATCTAAATCCTTATTTTTCCGAGGAGAATTTTTCCCTCTTTCAAAAAAAATGGCAATCTTATTGAAAACTTTTCCAATTATGGAAAGAAAAAAAACTAGATACCGAAGAAATTAAAAATACAGTGGAGCAATTAATTACTACTAAAAAATCTCTTTCATCCTTAATTAAAAAATACCAAAAAAAAGAAGTTGCCGATTATTCTTTCCTTTTTGCTGAATTAGAAAAATTATGAGATGCTGATTTAGCCGAAAAATACTCCTTAAAACCTCAAAAAGTTCAGAATTTTCTTTTGGGACAGATCAAAAGACAGTTTCCGGATTTGGATGTTCGAAAAATTAATGAAACAGTTGGTGAATTTATTAACAATAAACAAAAAAATTAGCAAAAAAATTTTATTATGCTCCAATATCAGCAATTTCTCATCAAAGACTTGACTGAATTAGAACAATTAGCTGATTGGATTCTACCTTATCTTAAACCTAACATTTTTTTGCTTTTACAAGGAGATTTGGGAGCAGGAAAAACTACTTTCACCCAAATACTTGCCCGAAAGTTAGGAATTAAAAACACAGTAAATTCGCCAACTTTTACTATTTTACAACAATATAAGATAAGAAACAATTACTATTTGAACCATTTTGATTTTTTTCGCCTATCCTTGCAGGATGACCTTTCTATTTTTGCAGAATTAATTATTAATAATTTAAATGTTATCGAATGACCTGAAAGAAATCCTCAATTTTGGCGAAATGAAGAATGTATTTATTTAACCTTTAAGTTTCATTTTTTTCAAGAAAGAGAAGTAAGATTAATTGAAGTAAAACATCTAAGCTCAAAAATTTAGAGATTATTAGGAGGGAGATTCTCAGCAAACAGCAGCCTAGGCTCTGCTTTTGCTGGATTTTTTGGTTCTTTTTTTCACGAAATACCAAACCACCAAAGCAGTAAATAACATGCACCAAATGGGTAAAAAAACAAGAAGGGATAAAACAGAAAATAAAGGAGGATCGGCTAAATTTCTCTCTGTTATAATAAAAATAAAAATAACATTAAAATGAATAACAAAAAACTCCTAATTTTTGACACTCATTGTCATTTAGCCGATAAAGGTTATGAGAAACACAACATCAGTGAAATCATTAATGAAGCTGAAAAAGTTGGAGTAAAATATATTCTCAATACCGGGCAAGATATGCCAACTAATAATTTACTGCTTACTCAATTAAAAAACTTCCCTAACTTATTTGGCTCACTTGGACTACATCCTAACAGCAAAGAAGATTTAAATGAAGAAAACTTAAAATGAATAGAAGACCAGTTAACTAACAAAAAAATAATTGCGATTGGGGAAATTGGTTTGGACTATTACCGAACTTTTACTCCTCAAGAAGCACAAAAATATTGATTCAAAAAGCAATTAGAGTTAGCCAAAAAATATGATTTACCAGTTTTATTACACATTCGCGAAGCTTTTGCCGATGCTTATGAAATTGTGAAAGTAGCAGGTAATGATAAAGGCGTTCTTCACTGCTTTACGGGAACTTGGGAAATAGCACAAAAGTTTATAGATTTAGGGTTTTACATTTCTTTTGCTGGCAATATTACTTATCAAAATGGTAAATGAAAAACGAGATGACAAGAGGTAATCGAAAAAATTCCTTTGGAAAAAATAGTGATTGAAACTGATGCTCCCTATTTATCCCCGGAGCCTCTGCGAGGAAAAATTAATTATCCACAAAATATCATTTATACATTAAAAAAAATCGCTTCATCTAATTGCGGCGGTGATAATTCTTCTTCATTGCCAGTTTTTTCTTTTTCAAGCACAGTTGGTTTTTCTTCACCGAGTAATTGGGATATCAGCCAAATTAATTGACATTTTTTTTCATAAAGTAATTGATTTATTTCTATCTGCCTATTTTTTTGGTCGGCTTGCTGGATTATTTTTTCTGCTTCGTCATTAGAATTAAGCAAAACTAGTTCTTTTAGTTCCGTGAAAATTGTAATTTCTTCGCCTTCTACTGTTAACTTTTCTCGGCTTCAACTTTCTACTTTGGCTAACCATTTGCGTTTGTTAGTTGGTAAGTTTTCTCGTTGGTCATTTAATTTTTCCCAATAATCTATAAGTTGCTGATTGATTTCTTTAATTTCTTCACTGTTAGTGTGGTTGTACGATTCAACAAATTGATTATATCTTACTAATGATTCTTGGTCGACTACCGTTATGAATCGACCATTTGGCGGATGCCAGGGTCGACGGTTTTGTCTTCATCTTAACCCTTCGCCATCATCACTGTTTTTGATATTTTTTTATAAGATGACAATTTGCTGAATTAAATTTATTTTACTAAGTTTACATAAAAATGTATATATACATATATATTGTAACAACTATGACAAAAATAGATATAACATTTAAAATTGAAGAAGTGGGAAAATTTAAAGACGCCAATAATAATATTTACGCCATAATCCCCACGGAGCCTATTAATTTAGAAGCGGAAAGAATGGGAATAATCAACGTCATTTCTCTTCCTTACAATGGCGAACTTCGTGTCGGAGATACAATTACTGTTCAAGATATCGATTTAAATGATTTGGGAAATATCAACCACAGAATAAAAGAAATTAACGGAATTAGAAATTGAGATATTCGGGGAAGTTTTGGCGGAATTGTTATTAATGAGCGAGCACCCGGTCTGGAAAATTTAGATGAA